TATTAAAATAATTTAATGAACTAATTTAAATCTCTAATCTTACTTAAAAAATTCAGTACCTTATTTCAGTGAACCAACTAATCATTAATATAATCAATTGTCTAATTTAATTGTTATTCGAATAATGTAATGAACTAATTTGGAAAAAAATGGATATAATTTTTGACACGTCATATTACCATGTGATCTCTATTTTATTTGTCTGTAATGGACAAACGCATGCCAGCATACGACCATGGACACTGACCATCTAGAAAATGAATTGATCATGGCATGGAGATGGGTAAACTATAATGCGAGTTGCATTTGAATCATTGAACCTCTGATAAGCACGTCATGAGAATTAAAAATGTTTGCTATATTTTAAATATTTATTTATTTAAGTATATACATAATTTTTTTTTTGATAATTTGATTTTTATCACCCAAATAAAGAGCAAATACCATATACAACTACAGAATACAACCTGTCAACAACAATATAAACAACAACTCCCTACGAACAGCCTAAGCAAAACAACTCAAGAAAGACAACTAAAATATAAGCAAAACAGTAAATTGCAAAATAAGATAAAAAAAAAACTTCCCATGAACAGCCATCTCATAGGGACTTCACGCATGTCTGCATGCAAGTGACCAGTAGAACAGTAGCAAGCAGCAAGCTAGTCGATGTTCCAATCAAGGCAAAGTTGAGAATTAACCCTATCAGCTTTGTTAATGCTACAGCCATGCAACTTAACACTGACTGTCCGTTTGATAACCTCAAAGACTTCATCAAGCACTATAGTACAACCTCTAAAGTGTCTAAGATTACGTTCTTCCCAAACAAAGTACAGAAGACTAATCCAAGCTAGCTTCAGAATGCAGACTAGCAAGGATTTCCCCTTAAAGTTGGCAGCAGCCCAGGCCAAGGTATCATTCCAACACAGCACCCTATGGGGAATTCTGCAAGTCTACAAGATTTTACTCCAGAGACCAACAGCAAAAATGCAGTCATTAAACAGATGATCCTTGTTTTCTACCCCATCACTGCAGATCTCACAGCGCCCATCTAACTCAATCCCCATAAGAATAAGTCTTCCTTAGTTGGCAGCCTATTCAAAAAAACCATCCAAGCAATAATAGACATTCTAGGGATATGAAGATGGAACCATATTAAGTGTTCCCAACTAACCTTCTCCCTCTTGTCTCTCAGCTTCTCCCACACCCAGTAGCTTTTAACCAAATTTCAGTCAACAACTGCCAAATAAGCCAGCAACCTCTATTCTAAGCTTAAGCAGCTTCCTCAAGATCTAGCTGAGCTGAGGCTTATAACCAGCCTCCCAAAAAGTAGCCATCTTCAGGGCATATTCATTAACCCAGTCGACTTAGAGAGACCCATAATTTGCAAGGATGTTTCTGATCAGCAAAAACCAACAAACCTTGTTCCATCAGTCCAAACTTTTTAAACCCAAGCCACCTTCAGATTTCAACCAACACATTTTCTTCCAGCTGACTCTTGCCCCCTTGGCAGGAGTATCATCCCCCTTCTAGAAGGACCTCATACAGAGTTGCTCAACCTGCCTAATGACTTCACTAGGCAATACTAACTGTCTGCACCAATAATTGGAAATACTGAATAAAACAGATTGGATAAGCTGCAGTCTGCCACCATAACTCAACCTCAGCTTAGACCACAAAGCCAGCTTACTTCTAATCTTATCAACTAAAGGGAGACAGTCTTTATCAGTAAGTTTCCTGGTAACTAATGGCACACCAAGGTACCTAACAGGAAACTTACCCAATTTAAAACCAGTAATAGCTTGCACTCTTCTCAAAACACCCTCATACACACCATAAGAAAACAACTCATATTTTCCAGCATTTAACTATAGCCCAGACATCTCATAAAAGACCTCAAGAACATCAAAAACACCCAAAATAGAGCCATCAGTACCATGACAAAAAATTAACAAATCATCAGCAAAGTTGAGATGAGTGAGAAGAACACGCTTACATTTAGGATGAAATCGGGTTAGCCCTTCCTTGGCAGTAACATTTAACAAGTGGGACAACACATTCATAATAAGTACAAAGAGATAAGGGGACAGTGGGTCACCCTGTCTAATTCCCCTCTTCCCTTTAAAAAAACCCACTAAACTACCATTAAATGCCATAGAATATCTTGCACCAATGACACATGCAGAAATCCAACCCCTAAACCTTTCTAGAAGCCCTAAGGAAGCAAGCACATTCATCAAGAAGTCCCAAGATACAGAATCAAATGTCTTCCTTAAATCAATTTTAAGAGTGCACCTAGGGGAAAGTGATCTGCGGGAGTAGCCCCTAACAATCTCTTGAGCTAAGAGTCTGTTATCTACTACACTACGCCCACTGATATGGCAAAATCATGTATGGGAAGTAACTACCTAACTGATTAACAATGATACCAGTGATGGTTTTATAGACAACCAATCAACAAGACATAGGGCGAAAGTCCTTAGCCATACCAGCATTTGGAGTCTTAGGCACCAAGGCAATTGCTGTAGCATTGAGAGCAAAAAACAGAGTTCCAGACTGAAAAAAATCTCTAATAGCAGCCAGGAAATCTTCATGCACAATATTCCAAGCCATCTTAAAAAAATATGTTGTATATCCATCTGGCCCAGTGCTCTTTTCATTACCTTGCCTGAACAAAGAAGCTTTAATTTCATCATTAGAGACCTCCTTGACTAATAAAGCAGCAACATCACAAGGAAGCTCATACCCCAACAAACTTTTGAGAAGATCAACACCACAACTTTTAACCCCCAGCATCTTCAAAACCAAGCAATTCAGTGTAAAATCTCAACATCTCAACCGACATAGCATCAAATGAGTCCAACCGAGAACCATCCTCAGCATAGAGTAATCTAACAGTGTTTCTCTGTCTTTTTCTCAGTATATACATAATTATTTAATACAATTTTTTATTTATTTGTAATCACTTTAATAAACATGTCATGAGAATTAAAAATGTTTGTTATATTTTAAATAATTATTTAATTATGTACATACGTAATTATTTTATATGTTCTTTTAATATTTTAATTATTACAAAAAAGTGATAATTAGCATATCGCAAAATAAAATAAAAACGATACAAAACATACGCATATATATATAAAACGCTATAAACTAAAATAATCGACAACAAATTATAACATAATTATACAAAAGTATTTTAAAACCTAAATATATATATATAGTTTTATCAACACAATAATCTCATTTAAACAAAATTATATTGTAATATGGGGTTTTCCCCATACCAGGGTCGGTCCTGATATTTTAAGAGCCATAGGTCAGGAGGTGATGACAATCAGATAAGTGGTGACCCACGCTTAGTTTTTCTTTCAATCATTAAAATAGGGCCATTGGATAATCATATTTTTGAGTTTTTTTTAATAAAAAATGATTTTTTAAAATATTTTTAAATTATTGAGGCCCACTAAATTACTATATTTTCGAGTGTTTGAAATAAAAAAAAATACGTTTAAAAATATTTTTTAATTACTAAACTTAACAATATTTTAAAAAATGTGCCCCTTCAAGCTTGGGACCTTAGGCGGTCGCACCCCTAATCTATGCCCAGGCCGACCCTGCCCCGTACTCATGTGAGATCAACAATGTATCAAATGTATAATTTCATACACTTTTATGTAACTAAAATTTAAATCACGATTTTTAATATAAATTTTATTCATTTTAAAAATAAAAAACTTAAAATATAATTTAAAATATAATATAAATTTATATAATACTCAATATGGAAACAATTATGGTAAGATAAATCAGCCACGGCATATTACCTTACCTAGCACCTCTAGCTGTGCTTGACAAATATATTCGTGTTCGAAAAGTAAACTAAAGTTGAAAACGGGCACCAAAGACGGTAAATTATGCTTTTTATCCCTTTATTTTGATTATATTGTTGTTTTGGTGATTAAATTTTAAAAAAATATTTTAATTATTCAACTTTAGAATTGATATATTTTTAGTTATTTGAATATTAAATTATAAATAATTGGGTGATATGATTTATTTTTGCTGACATGAGCTGTATTTTTATTAGCGTGAAAGTCGTCTTTTGTCCAATTTTTATTTTTCTCCAACAACTTTAAAACTATTAGAATTTTATTCTTACCGTTTTCTAAAGTTTTCTTCGATTACTTTAACAACTTATGAATTTATCTCATTTTCTATTATCACCACACGAGTTTATAATTTTTCAAAAATTCTCTATAATTCAAGGAGTTTTAATTTAAAACTAAAAACAAAAATTGATATACAGTCTACATCACTCGATCACTATAGAATTAAGGTATATCACTCTTCTTTTTCTTTTTCTATCATTCAAATTTAAAAAACACATTTTTTAATGTCGAAAAAATCAAAGAAAATTTAAAAAGTTAGATTAAAATTTTAAAAGTATTTGTATAAACTTAAAAGAAAGTTTTGGTGTTCGTGTTCTTATAATTTCAAAAGATTGATTTCATGTTATAATAACGTTAAATAAGTATGGTAGAATTATTAAAAATTAAGTGATTAAATTAAAATTTTTAAAGTTCAAGAGTTATAGAAAAAGTATATTACCCTTTTAACAAACATGTAGTGGACAATGATTCATCTTGGTTTAGAATGTGATTTAAATAACATTTGGTTACTGTTATAATGTCCACTGTATAACAGTAATAATGTCGGCAGATATTATTATATGATTGTGATATTCATAATTATTATAATAATAATAAAGATAATATAATTAAAAATATCGCAATCGTAATTTATATCTCTAATTTAGATTCTAATACAATTGCTATAGCTACAGAAGAACATTCATCCAATGTGCGTGATCACACCCGGTATTGGTTTTTTTCCAAAAGACTGAAAAGAAACCAATTTTTTAAACCAGGATATAAAGTCGAATCTTCATCTTCACCACTGTGAGCACCAGTCAACACCCAACCTGGGATAGGAAAATAAAAGAAATATCCAAAGCCGTACGATTGCGAATTGCGATCCTCTTTCGCTCTTCTATCAGCGTCAAAAACCACACACTCAATCAACGAGAGGGGCGGAACCAGGTTTTTCCATTAATCTTCCCTTCTTCTGCTATATAAAGGCCCATTGTTCACCAAATCAAAGCTCGTCCAGTTTTTCAATTTTTTTTCTCGTTGTCAAACAGTTACTTCTCCTACAAATATGGGTTTTTCTTGTTTTTTCTTTCGTTTCCAAAAACTCGTCCCCATGTCCCGTTGAATGGATTCCCTTCTTTCCCTTCTCCCCTGAACAAAAATCTTCATAATAAGGTTGGTTCGCTATTTTCGTCGTCATCCAGTTCTGTTAATTTCGGCTATTAGTTTGTCGTTTAAGTGGTAGTAGCAGCAGCAGCAGCAGCAGCAGTAGTTTTGGTGGTTTGAAGATTGAGCGTTCGATGGCTTCCTCCGCTTCGCCTGAGACCCCTAAGCCTAAGATCATCACCGGTCCCGGTGGTTATGTTCTTGAAGATGTTCCTCACTTATCGGATTACATCCCTGATCTTCCTGTACGTATAATTTATTTGTTGCTGGTAAAATGGATTGGAAAAGTAAAAGGAAACTATCTTTTCATAAGCTCCATTTCCCTGTATCTTTTTTCTGGGCACTAATTACAGTTCTAGATTCCATTTTGCATTCATATCTTCTTTTTATAGTTGTTTGATAATATAATAAGTAAGTTAAAAAGTAACTCCTACAAGTCTATCTGATTTTCTTTCACCTTTTACTTGTAAGGTTTATACCAATCCGTTGCAAGACAATCCGGCATACTCAGTTGTTAAGTAAGCCTCATTTCACAACTCTTTACACACACACATATTCATTGTCGGTTCTGCTATTAATTGGATCAATTTCCTTGTTTCACCAGGCAATATTTTGTCCATGTAGATGACACCGTTCCTCAAAAGGTTAGTCTTACAATATCTAATATAAATATTTGTATATCTATGTATATCAACATATATTCAGTTATAGGTATGAATCCAAATATTAGAAGAAATTAAAAAAAAATGAAGTATACTCGTATTGGGTATGTACTTTTAATATAGTTTTCAGATATTTTCGTGTCTTTACAGATTGTTATTCACAAGGATAGTCCCAGAGGAGTGCATTTCCGACGAGCTGGACCACGTCAAAAGGTATGTGTTTAACGTTATGTATGAAATGTGAACGATGGGACTCTAAATTGTGTTTTTACTTTTTACAATGATCTGTTGGGTATTTGATGGTTTCCTAGGTATATTTTCACTCTGATGATGTTCTTGCCTGTATTGTAACCTGTGGTGGTCTTTGCCCCGGACTCAACACTGTGATTAGAGAGATCGTATGCGGCTTGTACCACATGTATGGTGTGAAGAAAGTTCTAGGGATAGATGTAAGTGATCATCCGGCCTCAAGTTTGTTCCTTTAGGAGTAAGAGAAGTTTTTGAAACATTAATATAGTTTCTGGCTTTAAATTGCTAATAATAGCACCCCATCTAAATGACTAAATGAAAACATATAAATGCTTACTATATGGACTTCCTCATTAAATGTGTCAACCTACCATTTTCATGCTGGCATGTTTTCACTTGGTTAGAAGATGTTTTATGATAAATGTCTTCCATCATTGAATGAGTTGTTGCATTAACAATTAATGAGTTTTGTGCATTTGCAGGGAGGATACAGGGGTTTTTATGCTAAAAATACTGTGCATTTAGATCCCAAGGTTGTCAATGATATCCATAAACGTGGTGGAACAATCCTTGGAACATCACGAGGTGGGCATGATACCGCAAAGATTGTTGACAGCATTCAGGATCGAGGGATTAATCAGGTCTGATAGTAATACTATGATATTTGTGAGTGTTGCCAATAATTGAACTATAATTAGTTGTTATGATCAAGGCATACCAACTGACTGACTTATGAGTGTCTGTGTTACCACAGGTTTACATTATCGGTGGAGATGGAACTCAGAGAGGAGCATCTGTTATATTTGAGGTGATTCTATGATAGGATATGCAAGCATTGATTTGCTATGCAAATTTATACGTATTTAAAAAAGAAGTTTATTCCATAATTTACAGGAAGTTAGAAGGCGTGGTCTTAAAGTTTCAGTTGTTGGAATACCTAAAACCATTGACAATGACGTCCCGGTAATCATCTTGGCTTGTATAGAATGTTGTTGAACCAGAAGCCTGTTAGAAATTGCAACCAATTTTATTTGGTTACCACACGGTCTTTTAACTTTGTTCCTTTTTCATGCATGATAGGTTATTGACAAGTCCTTTGGCTTTGATACTGCTGTGGAAGAGGCTCAACGCGCCATTAATGCTGCTCATGTTGAAGCTGAAAGTTTTGAGAATGGCATTGGCCTTGTGAAGTTGATGGGTCGCTACAGTGGTAAGTTTCTTGTTTGGTCTCTCGTGGAAGTGTTAATCTTGTGAAGTTAATGGTTTTGTTCCTTTCATTTATGCTTTTGTTCTACAGTGGAGTTTACATTCCCTTTTATCATACTTCTTCGTTTCCTGAAACTGTTAGATTGTTCATTTTTTGTTCTTAGTGCAATCTAACCCTCAGTAATATTCAGGTTTTATTGCAATGTATGCTACTCTTGCAAGCAGAGATGTGGATTGTTGCTTGATACCGGAATCACCCTTTTATCTTGAAGGACCTGGAGGACTTTTTGAATACATTGAGAGGCGACTTAAAGAAAATGGGCACATGGTTCTCGTGATAGCAGAGGGTGCAGGACAGGAGCTACTTGCTGAATCAAGTACACAGAAAGATGCTTCAGGAAACAAGCTTCTCCAGGATGTTGGACTATGGGTATCGCAGAGGATCAATGTATGCCATATAGATTCGACTTTGCAACAGTTCACAGACACGTAAAGATGTATAATATGGAAGTTTTTGATGTGACATTCATTGATTTTTGCCTGTCATTTCCAGGACCACTTTTCAAAAGAAAGGAAGATGACCATAAACCTCAAATATATAGGTCAGTCGAGTAAATATTTAAGATTTTCTTGAAGATTTCATTTCTCAAGAGGAAAAGAAACCATATGTCTTTTTCAGTTGAAGTTACTAGTTAATGGCAGAAGTTGCTGAACTTTTTTCTTTCATCTTCTCGCAGACCCTACCTATATGATTCGTGCTATTCCAAGTAATGCATCTGACAATGTTTATTGCACACTTCTTGCTCAAAGTGCTGTTCATGGAGCAATGGCTGGGTACACTGGATACACAAGTGGTCTTGTCAACGGCAGGCAGACATACATACCTTTCTACGTGAGTTTGAAATGACATAAAGAGCTTTAATTTGGAAATATTAGTTTAGAAAATCGATGTTTTTTTTAATTGCATGCTTTATAATGCCGTAGTATTCAGAGACTGTTATTTTAGTACCCCTTCTGCAACGTGGAACCTTCCTGGTTCTCTGCATGCATCATCTCTTATGGTGGTCAGTTAATTCCAATGTCCAGGTTCTAGTATTCCTTGTAACACTTGCATTCAATTCTTCTGGGTTGTACACCTATGCTATATCATAAGTCTCTTCCAAAGAATTTGCCTTGATGTATATGTATGGATATCACAAGGGTGGGGATAGAATTAGATATGGATGCAACACACCTTAACCGGTGTTCAATATGAAGTTTTAATTTGGGATGATAATTTGTGTGCAGCGGATTACCGAGAAACAAAACAAGGTTGTGATAACAGATAGGATGTGGGCAAGGCTTCTGTCTTCAACGAATCAACCAAGCTTTTTGCACTCCAAAGATATCATCGAAGACAAGGTCGATGTGTTGGATAATGGAAACTGTAACCCCAATTGATGTTTATAGTTTATCGAGGCGCATGTGTAGTGCATAGTTTATTAATAAGCAAATTAATCAGCTGTCTAGTGTTCTTGCAAAAGTCCTAAAATGATTCTGTTGTGTACTATTCAGCATGCTGAGTTTTGGGTTTCCAGATTGAATTTTTACCAACTTCTGTTGGGGTTTCGGACAGACCTTATGTTTGAATAGTTTATTAGATCTTGTATTTACTTTATATTAACGAGTGTTATGCTGTTCAAACTTTATTCACGACTTGTAATATCTTCTAATGGCAGCCACAGCCTTGTTTACATATTGGTCTAACATTCATTATAGTTTTCAAGTTCTTGTTCTTTGTAATTGAGTTATTCGTCATATCATTTCTGTGATCACTCAGCAAAAGAATTCGTTGATTAAATATTAAAGTAGTTGATATCATTGTTATCGAAACTTTTAACATTACATATTCAAGTGAACTTAAGAATGGCTTGGACCTCAACTGCAACAATCAAGGGCAGTGTCATCTTCGAAGCCGAGATTGTCCGAAAGAAGCTAAGTTCACACCCACCAACAGGCTTCTCCCATCTCATTCCTCCATTTACATACACTGCATTTAATTTTTCTTTAGTGGCACATTGCTTCTAGAACTTATGCTTAGCAAGTTATTCAAAGGGCTGCAGGCTTGCCATCTTTTCTAGGGTCGCTAACAGCAGTTAATTTTCCATGAAATATGTATGAATCTTTTCCGAGTTTACGACCAGTTACTATTGGTTCTTGGAGTGTTTGTACAACAAACTGAACGATAGCTCCACCTGACTTTGGCTCCAGCTGATGCCCCTTCTCTCTCAGAAATATCTTTGTCTCCTCTGCAAGCTCGATGTGATCACCATCGATGCAAGTCCAGTTTTCATACGAGATTACATTTGGTATTAACTGCAGCAAACCAAAGATTAAGTCCATTGGATAACCTTCCAAATACAACTATATGTATTCGATCGAATCACACCTTGTGGTAGATCCTTGGATGTTCTACTGCAGCCAAAGGTTCCATCCCCAAGATAAAATGATTTAGAAAAACCTGGGTCACTGCTGGTATTATGTTCATTCCGCCGCTGCCACCAATGACTCCGGCCAGCTGATTATCCTGCCAAAAGAGGTATTAAGGTTAGTGAAAGGGGCAAGACATGTAGATTTCTTGGCTGCACGATCGCACTGGGAAGCTCTGAAACCTTGGTAATAATAAGTGGTGTCATGGAAGATAGAGGTCTCTTGTTTGGTCTGATAAAGTTTGCCGGAGCAGGAGGGAGCATGTCTGGGGATATCTCTGTTGGTGCTGAGAAATCGCCCATCTCGTTGTTAATGATAATCCCGGTGGAAGCTGATAGTACTCCAGCTCCGAAAGGGTAATTCACAGTGGTGGTCATAGATACGGCATTGCGTTCTGCATCCACGATGCAGAAATGGCTAGTTCCATGGTCTCTAAGTTGACTCCATCTGGTAATGAAAAGGATTACAAAAGCTCAGAAGCTTCATTGACAAGAATCTAAAGGGTTTGTTTGTAAACCACACATACCTGTACATATAATAGCTTGCAGGGAAAGTTGTGTCGTCGACTATCTTTGCCTGGATTTGCTTTGCATAAGAAACAGAAAGCATTTCAGATACATATTCGGTTACATTAACGAAATCAGGGTCACCCAAGTTCATTCTTTCAGCAAACATGTGTTTCAATGCTTCGATCAGGCGATGAAGCCCGAGATCGCCCTTTGCGGCATTAGCACTTCCATAGCTGTCCAAGATGTTCATGACCAGAGACATGCCAAGTGTTCCACTTGAAGGAGGTGGCATTCCGTATATAGTGTAATTCATCACATTTGCAGTCATTGCATCTGTAATTTCTACGTCGTAATTCCTTAAATCCTCCATTGTCAAAATCCCACCAACCTGTCTCACATCTTCCACCAAATTTTCTCCGATCGTTCCATTATATAATGCCTCTGGTCCATGTTCTGCCAGTTTCTCAAGGCTGTGAGCCAGCTCGACATTATAGCACTTTTCGCCTGCCCGTAACAACTTTCCCTCCGGTGCAAACACCTGCCTTAAGCCGAGATCGTCCATAATCAACTGCGCATGCGAAGCAATGTTTAATCCGAGGTATGGTTCGATGACAAATCCGTGTTTAGCTAGTTTTATTGCAGGCTCAAATAGTGTCTTCCAATCTAGTCGACCGTATCTCAGCCAAGCTTTGTGAAGGCCAGCGATCTCGCCGGGAACTCCCATTGACAACGCACCATGGTACTTGGCTCTCATATCAGTCTCATACATGTTCTGCAACAATAATAACAACGTTAGCAGGCACAATCAAGACAGAAGCTAGGAGCCTAGGCTCGAGTCCTCTGCAACGGATAATATTGAGATTGATTGTTGAACCAGAATAAGTTCGAAAGCGGCTAACGGGATATCAGTGATCTTCTCTACCTAATGAATGGGGTTTCCGATCTGAAATTGATCGCCCTGCACCCTCCCCGAGTTTATGTTTCAAATAAAATCACACATATAAGGGTAGATTGATACAACATGAACTAGAAAAAAGTTTGCTGTAACTCGAGCACGTGTTGACCAATAATAGATCAACTTGTCTTGGAAACAATATAGCTGAAAGAGAGAATTTCGAACCTGCGAAGCGGTTAACGGAGCAGTTTCTCTCGAATCGAAGGCTTGGACTTCTGAAGTCGATGAAGACCAAACAACCATGAAAGATCCACCACCAATTCCGCTAGCCATCGGGTTGACAACCCCGACGCACAATGCCGTTGCCACCGCTGCATCTACCGCATGCCCACCTTTCTTGAGCATAAGCACTCCGATTTCAGAACAACGGCCATCGTCTGCGGCAACAACCCCGTGCTCTGACTCGACACTATTGGGGCCACGAACTCCAACCCTGCTATCGTACTTGTTCCCTCCTTTAACTAGTAAGTAACTAAAGCCATCTCCGAATATTATTAGGCCTCCAACTGAAACATACACCACATCTCAGCATCAAACAAAGCATACAAGATATGATTATAAAACTACATGAAGCAAGAAGAATCTTTAGCTCTGTAATGATGTAATCATGGTATCAGATCACAAAAACCGTCCAGGTTCATAAGGCTATAATAAAATAAAAGGAAATGAAACTTGTCCGAAACCTAATTCAACCATTTATTGACCAACACAAAATACAGCATGGTTATATTCAAAAGGATCAAAAAAGAAACTCTGGGTATTATTTATAAACATTTGACAGAGCAAATGAACACACACACACATATATATGAGAGAAAACAGAACCATTAACTTTAATGAAATGGATAAGAGCAGGGCAATTAATCCTGGAAACCCAGAAAGATAGCACAAGATCATTGACAAAAAAGAGAAGAAACTGACTAGAAAAGGTGACACAAACAAGGAAGAATCGGAGAGCTGTGTTCCGGTAACTGTTTATCTTATTGTTCTTCTCATTTGGCATCAAAGATAAAAGGGGAGCTTCCATGATAGAAATTGCTGCTTGTTTTTCCTGAAATCTGTGCACAAGGTTAGGTGTGGAGAGGGGAGTACTGTCAACGATTTAGGTAGAGTTATATATATACAAAATGTAAGATTGAATCAGTGGAGATCACCAATAAAGAATGCGCAAATATCACGCATCAGATATTAAAAGAATTTGAAGTGGGGAAGCAAGCGACTTGGCTCTTAGCCTCTTACTGCTGTCGGGACACTGGATTGCTTAGTTGGACAAGATTCCTCTCTCTTACCCTATCATGTACTGCCACGTAACAATCAAGTATTTTGGTCGATTTCTATAATTAGTCCCTTTACTATATTTATGTTGTGGAATTAGTCCCTGTACTATATTTATGTTGTGGAATTAGTCTATTTAAGTCTGTTTTTCGGATATTTAAATTTCAGTCCCAACACCAATAAAACTAGTAGGGGTGAATAAAACTTGATTCACCTAGAAAAACTAATTTTTTTTAATTATGAGTTGTTCAAATTATTCAGTCAACTTAAGTGTTCTAGGTAGATGGACAAATCAACAAATCGAGTATCAAATATTTTTGAACTCCCCTCGTCTTAAATGCATAGAATCAAGAGATTTGACATCACTGCCACTAACCACACCACTTGCGAAAACAAAAGGTCAAACTAGTTGCAAAATGTTCGTAACGGCGCTCATTATCGATCAATGAATCTGATGTTAATGGCAAAAACGGCATTGAAAATTAGGAAACAACATCAACTTGATCAAAGATGTGATATTGAGCATACATACACGTGCGAGGCTAGCTGATCGTCTTGGTCCAGGGTAACCTAATTCAATGAATTCGAACAATTGAATTTGCAGTGTAACATCCCAAAAGATGGGTCAGTGACTTAAATGCAAATTTTGAAAATTTATGCTCAATTTTAAAATAAGTTAAAAGTTCATGACTTTATTGGAAACATTTTGTGATGGATGGTTTAGTAAAGAATGAAAGAAAGAAGGGTAAAATGGTTATTTGACAAGAAAGATTTTTATCTTTTTTTTTTTGTAGGCTATATAAACGTGGGAAATAGGAGAAAGTTTCCACGGTACTCTCTATTCTTCTTCTTTTTTTCTCTTCAACGTGAGAGCCAAAGCAAAGGTATGTTGATTTCATCTTGTTAATTCCTTGAATTTATAGGTTGGGTTGGAATAATTGGGTGTTATATAAGCTTAAGGAAAGCTTATATAAACTTAAAACAATAAGATGAATGAGTTATGATGGGATTTGTAAAAATAGTTTTAAAGATGAATTTTGTTATGGTTTGGTTTTTAGGGTTTTGATGAGATTTTTGACTTGGCATAAGAAGAATTAAGAAGTCTAAAGCATTAGAATTGAATTTAGATCATGTTGATATTTTGGTATGATTCTTAGCTTTAAGAATCTGGATGAAATATAGGAGATTAAAAGGTGTTGGAATGCTAGAAATTAGTTATAATGGTTATAGATGAGTTTGAGAACATAATAAAGGGTTTATACATGAAAATTTGGGTAAAGTATTGAGGAATTTCGGGTGAAATAGCCTATTCTGGGCAGGTGCATCGGTACACTATGAATATGCACCAATGCACTAAGACCAATTTTGAAGGTGCATCAATACATTAAGGGGTGCATCGATGCATGGGTATTTCGAACCTAATTTATGTACCGATGCATACATAGTGCATCGGTACACCCCTAAA